TACCTTTGCGGGTAGTGAGAAAAAAATTATCTTGTATCTCTAGGATATAATGGGTTGCGTAAATGATTTAGCTGGCGGGTTTCCACGGCGGTGTGTTGACAATGCGTGGTGGTGCAACGGTGGTGCCATCTGATGGCGGCAGTCAGTCGCACGCGCAGCCTTGCTCTAGCAACTCATGCAATTGTTCCATGCTTTTCTTTTAATGACTAAGAGTGTGTTGAGACGCGCCGGGAGACGTGTTGTGTGTTATTGTTTTATGTTGATGCGCCTGCGCCGTGCCGCTCCGCGCAGTGTTCGCTTTGTGATGCGCCGCATGAATGTGCCTCGATTGTATTCGGCTTAGCATTTTGTTTGTAAACAACACATCGTTTGACTTCTACTTTTGGTATTTCCAGATGTAATTTAAGACGTACAACGTTTCTCTTATTATCATCCGCTGTAACAATATACAATAATCTAGTAAACAGACGAAGTATGTGACTTATGTTTTATGTAAACTTTATTTACTTCATAGTAGCATATAGGCTGATTGAGAGTTGAATCCCAAAAGAATTGTTTAAAGTGCCATATCATTGATAAGCAAAACCCCGATATTTGACAAGAGGTCCACAAAATCTAAGATCTAAACGTTGGTTAATACATTTGTTATACAAATCCGACTTCGTCAGCAAATTATGAATATCGTTGTACGTTTAAACAATTGATCTACAAAACTAGTTGAATAGTAGAACAAACTTCTAATCTAACTGGTAACGAACTCAAACTGACCTTTTACTCTGCGGCCCTCAATTTAAACATGTTTAAGCTTACACATTTTGTCGTTAAAAGCCACTAGTGTGGGAACTGAATTTTAACTATCTCTCCATATGTTGTCCAGTTGTACTAACCTTTAACGAGACTTTGTTATGTTCCAAATATACTACCTCAACCTAAATGTTTATTAGAAAAAAACATAAACCAACTTTTAACTTGATAACTGTTTATATTGTTAAAAATATATCAAATTTATTTCGTGCTTGAAGTCAACTGGACAAGGGACAAGAAACTTGTTTGTAGTTACTACAACGTTAATCATTTCATGTAGATAATAAATTTACATAGACATTTCTTACCTCCACATTAAAAACCATCAATCGCTATCTTTCCATAGACAATAATCATATAAGTTAACATTATATTCCAGGCCTGTAACACTTGTGTTAAAATGTGTTATCTCTGTTTATTCTAAAAGAACAAAAGGGACGACAACATGTTTTTACACAAATGTTCTATCAGTGGAAACATACGTAGGAAATACATAAAGATTTCTCCTGAAAGCGAGTGCTTATTGTTAACTAACGGTCAGTGACGGCTCTAATTGTGTCACAGTTCAATGCTCCAATAACTTCCCGCATATCAATTAGCCGGGACTATAGAAAAGAAAATACATCGCATTATCATAATGCAAGCTCTATTGAATTTTCTCTTTCAAAAGATATTTATTTAACAGCTTGCTTGTATGTGTAGGTAGTCTTGAAGAACACATAGGGTACTCATTAACTTTTTTGTTAATTTAGCGCAGACGGTGTCGCACGCGACAGCTAGTAGTTGATAAGTAAAACACACTTTATCTATGAAGACTTAAAATTTTATCAATTAAACAGACAGTTAGATTTTTTTCTTTCTGTATATTTGAAAACAAATCACCAACAATATACCTTAGAATAGCTAAATTTAAATATATTCGTAGTTTATTAAACAAGTATGCGTTCATTAAAATCCTATAACAGTTTTATTATGTTCCTAAGATAGTATATCGTTAACACTATTAACAAATATATATTATTTAATATGTTAACTAAACTAGGGCACCCTATGAGTATGTTAGGCTTATTATATTTTAGTGCAGGTGTGTGCCACTTTAAGAAAATTAAATATTAAATAAATGACACTATCTGCCATTCAAAACAATTACTAAAAGAAGTTAACTCTTTTTGATTTTATAACTTACGTGTTTACCTTATTTTAAATTACACTTAACCGTTTTATCAAGGTAAAATTTATTTCAAGAATAAATACGTATATAAACTTGACTTTTAGAACAAAATATAATAGATTTTAGATGACTTTAAGTTCATGATTTTCGATTTATTTATTAAATTTAAAGACTTTATATCTTCTTTATAAAGCAACTGGTAACATTAGTTAGATATTAATGGACCATATGCCTAATAATTTTACTTACTTTGATTATCGTTGGTTTCTGAGCCCAAAAAGCCTGTATAAAATGTCATCTCTTTTTGTCAAAAATAATGAAAGGTATGAGGATGTACTATGTCCAGAGATATAGGTCTCAGAAACATTCTATTAATAACTTAATATTCCTGATGGTTTAACGGAAGTTCAAGCATTCTCGTGCAATATTAATTAGAACATAATATAGTGAAGCAGCAGGCCGCAAGCTCGCTCACTTGTGACGGTGTTACCGTACGCCGACCGCTACGCATGCACTATTTGACTCCTCATTATTGTTTCGCATCTACAATATAAATGCAGTTTCCACTACTGAAACACCTGTATACAATGTTTCGTAGATAAGTACAGTCAGCTGCATAAATTATTTACATCTTTACCTTTAGAGTCTTGTATATGACTTGTCTTTCAGAAACAATTATCCACGACGTATTCGTCGATAGCATGTATTTATCGTACAGACAGATAAATATACACATATTTTTATAATCGAATGCTTATACAAGTTTCTGAAACTTTATCAATGTATACATATTTATACAGTTGACTGTACAAGTGTCTCGCAGAAGTCCCTATACTACGCTGGTTTTTTAAACAATTTTATTCCTTAATATTTAAAATACTAATCATGACGTACGATAATTGATCTGAATGACTAAAAATAGTGATAAAGTAATTCGTTTTCGTATAACAAAGTAACAAAACTCCTAACAATTCGACGTAACAAATCAAGGTATAAAACGAATCAAATGACAATAGGCGATGATAATTTGAATCAAAGTTCGGGGTCGATAAAGTACAGGCTACGAATGCGTCGAAATGTTTTACGGGGCTTGCGAAATCTGCCTATACATAGATCAAGGATTACTTTTGTCCTTACAATCAGACATTACAATATTAGTGATTAGATACTTCGATATTCGAATAACATTATGTTATTAAAAATGTTTTACTATTATTATTCTTCTACGATGTTATTAAAGTAATTGTTAATATATTTGCAATCAAATACGTCTATTATATTATATTAGTTATGGATTTTTCATAAATGTCAATGTTTTCTAAATAAAATTAAATAAAAAAAAGAATTCATGTTGCCATCATTGCTATTTGAAAAGCAAACCAAATATTTGTGTGTTAGAAGTAATTGTTCGTAATATTAATATGAATATTATCTTATGAGTAACATTTATTCTTAATTTGCATAAACCAAAAATAATTATGATTAGATCAAGTCTAATATTATTAAACTCGGTTAGCCGTGATTCAACGATGAGTGACAATATAGATCTTAATATGTAAATTTTACATATGTGAAGCATTTTAAACTTTTTAAATTTACTACGTAAATTGCAATAATTAGTTAAGATAGGGGAGTTACAAAGGTATAGATGTTGTACTATTAATTGGCTTGTATTGCTATGGCTTTTACATACCGAAAATATCATTAGATAAGATTCTGTCTATAGATTTCACAAAGACATTTAATGCTGTAGAATTCATTAAATGAGAAGTTTTAATACAACAGTCACCATTACTCATCATCCAAGATACATAAAATCATGTTTTAAGTTCCTTGCGTAAAGACGGAGTCCATAATAAACACTTTAATTGATTTTCAAGATTTCGAGATAGGTTTCTTCATGCCCATTACAAGCCTACCATAGTAATTGAAATAGCCACGTAAACTATACTTTCTTACGTATAATAGATGACAAAAAGGATTTAAAAACTTTAAAGTTGGCGATATCAAATTCCTAAGTACTTTTTTCAACAGTCATCGAAGAATTTATTGTATTACAGCAATATGTAATTTTAAATGTTACTGTTGACTGAGCATCTTATCTCTATCCATCAGTTGCATTAACGGCACATCAGTTGCACAAAGCACTTGAGGTTATTGCACAATAGCGAGCAATTCACTCTCGTTGCGTGCACCGCACTGCCGGCCGCGGCGCCATTGTCGCGCACGCGCTTTACTGGGAACTTTCCCGCGAAACGCGCAAAAAGCGCGGGAACTCCGCCCAAACAATGACGGCCGACATAACGCTCCAAATGTTATCTATTGCCTGCCAGCCCACCGATTACAACATCTATGTTCTCATTGCTTGTTCTAGAATAAACTTTTGTTTTGTTTTACGTATTGTATTCAGGAAAAATAATGTTTATTAATTGTTTATCGTGATAATAGCAATGACCTATATATTTATATGCTTGTTTTATTTATTTATATTGATGATTTGAATTAGTTAGTCATTCTTTTTCAAAGGCTTCCTAAGTAAATTGACTTATAGTGGTTATAAAATCCGATGACTAGGTGCTCAGTCTTATACCTTCAACCGCGCATTGCAGTTTCAAAATCACAAATTTCCTTTTTAAATTATTAAGTTTTTTTTTATCTATGTGCAAATATATCGTTTATCGAAGCATTATAATGGCGATAGGAATAATGTATTTCTGTAAAGAAAAAGAAATGATTCGACATTTGCCCACCATAAACTATATTGACTTTAACCATTTTATTGAACTAATTTGGCTCATAAATTGTAAGAGAATAGTTTAATAAATTTAAGAATACCTCTGAAGTAGAATGTAACTCTTTTTCATATTTTACATTCTTAATACATATATTTTCCCTAAAATGATTTTAATGTAGTTTACAACAAATGTTAATACTTTCTAATATAAGTTTGTCGTTCAAACATATATCCATTTCACATTCGAATTGTTTTAAAAAAGAGCAACGAAGAATTCATTACACAATCGATCGAAGTCATCAATTAACACAAATGTTTACAAACAAAACAAATAAACAAGTCGCATTCTCAATAATTTGTATTCAATCAGTGGCAGCGCTACGATAGACTCGCACTCATTGTGTCGTGCGAACATCATCATCAGCCGAGCCAAATAAAGTAATAAGATAATAATTATTTAGAAGTGGCGAAATGATTACTAAATACAAACTGCTTTTAAATACGACAAAAGCTACTCGAAGCGATTAAGTGTTGAAATTTTTTCATCACAATGGTAAACGGTAATTACGTGTTGTACGGCGACAGGCCGTCGTCAGAGTCCGAAATTGTCGAGGATCATGTACACGCGCGCGCTGCCGATAAGAAAACCAAGAGGAAACCGAACAGAACCGCCAACGAACTGCAGTACTCCTTGAACCTCGCGCAACTCGACAACGAGACGGATTCAGTCAAGTATGAGAAGAAAGTAAAGGAGCCGAGATTACTCCGCTACGTGCCGACTACGGACGTAGAGGAGCACTTTGTTAGTGAAAAGTTTGAAACCTATGATTTGAAAGCCACTGAGGAGCCACCTCGTCGGTACGCTTTCACGAAGAAACCTAAGAACCCAGCAGACGGATCGGTTAATTATGCTTACTCTAGATCGAGCAGCAGCTGCAGCTCTCCCAATGGAAATTTGCCGACCATATCCGAGCACGGGGAACAGTTTAGTACGTATCGTATCCGCTCCATCCGGACGCCGACTGACGAAGAAGTTACTCACGCATACGAAACGAAACTCGACAAATATTTCTCCAGGCCGCGAGAAGTGAAGACGTTCGTGGCCAAGGTAAGTTTGAGTACCTAACGGTATTTTACGGCAGTAGCAATGTGAATGTAAAATCTTTCAACTACTTAAAATAAGTAACTTTAATTTCATGCAATCTAGGAACTGTTTGTCGATAGTTCAGTAGTTAAAAGCTAAGTGACGTCATTACACGAAGAAATGATCCTGATATGTCACAAATCTTAATTTTTTGGATATTTACGATTCACAATAACGTATGACGTGTGCTTTACGTTTCCTTTTTACGGGTACGCGTACAATCAGACATGTGGGTTACGAATATTTTTTACAAAGACCTTATTCAACTCATCCCAAATTTGGGTAATCAATTTAAGAACACTCAAAAAGTTGTTAATAATATTTCGTGGTATATAATTTTAATTAAAATAAAAGTGCCATAAAGGGGTTATGAGAAAGTAAGAGATGTATATAATTATTGTCCTGTCAAATTATTTTTTCCTTTCTAGTAATATTCATAATTACTACCGACATTCAATATTATTTATAGGTTTCCTAAAACGGAAGGCAGATTTTTTATACATTTCTTTGACCTCTCTCTCACGAATTCTTCGTATAGTTTATTTAATGATTTAATATTCTATTACATACTTTAATATCATGATTAATTATTAAGAACTTGATTATGTAAATAATAGATTCCATTTGAATGGATTCTTTTAAACTAAGGTCGTATAAAATAAAGAAGTGCGTTATTTGACCTTTTGTAACATAAACCATTAATTATTAAATCTTAAATGAGCTTCACTTGTAACGAGAATGTTAATTATGGTTGTAGTGAAGTTTAGTGCGTGTCCATGCTTAGTCGTGTTTCATTTATCAAATAAACTAGATATTGGTTCATCGTTTTAATACGTATCGGACAGGTTGCGTTATAATCATGACAATATTCAGAAAAAAATACGTTTTTGGGAAAATGGTACGTATACCTTTGTGTGTTTTTTTTACTTTTAAGTAATACCAACAAGGAAAAAATATAATAACCATAAAAGAAAATCAGCCAAGCTTATCAAAAAAATAAGCATAAAAAACTATACTAAAAAACTAGTATATATATAATATTTTGTATTATAACTAGCTCTAGGGATTAAAAATAGATGTTGACCGATTCTCAGACCTACTCAATATGCTCACAAAATTTCATGAGAATCGGTCAAGCCGTTTCAGAGGAGCATGGGACCGAAAATTGTGACACGAGATTTTTTTATATAAGATTATTCTGCCCAGTTTAATTAGCAAACGATCACAAAATTCTAACCAGCAATTTTTATGCTATCGCTACCAATTTAGTCTCATCATCAATCAAGAATTTTGAATTATAATTGGATCTTATAGAATGTTTACTATTGCTGATCCGGCCAAACATTTTTCTCCAGGATGCAAGCAAGGATTAAAACAAACTAGTGAATTAGCAATGACTTTGAGATGTTAACACTTTAACATTGTTACAGGGCTCACATCCCGACAGCTTGTACCGTGTTCCGGTGGGCAGTGGCGTGACAAGCAGTAAGGTAGTGCGAGTGCTACGCATCCTACGATGGCCAGTTGCTCTCTTCAGCGTCTGTATTGCTCTGGCTATCTTCGTGTACTTCCTTATGCCAGGTAAGTTTTATAACCATGTAATACTTTAGTGTTTTGTAGATACAGGATGTGTATTAATCATTTTCTTTTTTATAATGGTGTTGTAAATATTTTAAAATTATTAATTTCATGCGAATATAATAGTTTTAATACAAATATTTCTAAGAACTACTTAATAAACTACACTAATAATTAATAGTATAATAAAATCAAAGTTATTAAATCTTCCTCATTTCAACTAGACGTAGTTTTGTAAAATGCTACAAAGATTGTTGTAATCCGTTATTAATTGTCTCCTTTACAAAAAATAAAAAGCTCAGGATATTTACATTCCATATTTTACAATTCATTTATCAATGCAATCGCTTTTCGTTGCTTTCACCTTTTGTGACACCTGTTTTTAAATTAAACTCTTCAACTGATTTCTTTTAAAATAAATGCCAGTCGACATCGCGACATCGTTGTTGTTACGAAAATTGTTAATTACAAAGATGGTGCCGAAGTTTCAACGTTAATAATAAAAGTAACTCCTTTCCAACTTGTGTAGATTCGATGCTAAGATACGGTACGTAATTATTATTACGTGGTAACTATGTTATTTTTTATTTTCTTTAAGATCAATAGATGAGGCCGGAAATAAAAAGAATTGAAAGAGTTATGAAATCATTAAATTTTTCATGTTATTCGAATATTATGTGTCCAAATAAAATGATAATAGAGAGCGTCGATGGCTCAGTGGTCAAGCACTTGACTTGCAATCTGCAAGGGTTTTATCCTGGGTTCGAATCCCGCCATGTACCAATGTGTTTTTCGATTTACGATTTACATATGTACATTTATCCGACGTTCTTACGGTGAAGGAAAACATCGTGATGCAACCTGCACATATCTGAGAAGAAATTCAAAGACATGTGTGAAGTCAACCAACCCGCACTGGGCCAGCGTGGTTGACTATAGCCTAATCACCCTTAACTTAGGGTAGGCTCCGAGCTCCTCGGTGGGGACGTATAGTGAGCTGATGATGAAATAAAATGATATGAAATGAAATGTGACTACTCAAATATGGAAACCTCCATTATGTCAATTTGAGTTTAAAAGATTTTACTCGAAAAAGCTTAATAAAATCAACTTTCTCACAACATTATTATGTCAGCCAGTTTAATCAAAAGTTATGTTCTACGAGATTACTGTCATAACAAGCTTTTTGTGCAGAATTATAAATATGAAATGTGGCGATGGCGTGTTAGGTGGTAAAGGTCATGGCTGACGAAACGTCTGTTGCGTCACCACAACTGACTTCCGTTTGCAACAGTAATAAGTTTGCTGATTAGTCCATCGTGTTGAGCAAATAAAGCACAAATTTGAATCAAGCAATATCCTCGCTTAGATTATCTGGTTTACCTGATAAAAATACAAGAACAAAACTGCATAACTATCACTGTAATGGCTATAATCTTCATGTCCTTTTATGGTATGGTCGATTACATATTTAATTACGAAGAAATTTGCATAAAGCAACACTAAAAAAGGGCATTACAAGGTATAAAAATCGCCAATTACCAAACATTCACAACGATTGTAACTTTCAAAAACAGATAATCCGTTTCGTAATCTTTTATTTTGCTACATAATAAAAGTAATATCAAAATACTCGTAAAATGTTCCATCTTTTAACGTGTTTTAATTCGCTTTCCTTATGAACACGCAAAGGGTTATCTTAATGGCGGCACTAAATTATTCAGAATTTCGCCGACATTTGCATGCGTGCATTTGTGGCGCCATGTCCTCGTGTCCGGATGCCCTCATATCTCCCGAGGACGCTCTCAAATCGTCTCTTTTATTCGTTCAATTTGGCAAAAAGAAAGTTGACCTCACGCCCGCCATTGTACTTCGATATTAAATATATTACAATATTGATTTTACACAACATGCACTCTGACCACACTTTCATTGTTTCCTTTGTCCACAGCAAGTTGAACTTTTAAAAAGATACGCTGACAGTATGAATATGACGAGTCATAATACTTTTTATATTTGATTTATTTTAGAAGTTTTTATTGTTTGGTTACACAATCACAAGACGTCGTATGATTTTTTGTGCATGTTTAGTTAATAATCAACTTTTACTTTTCGCTTATTTTAAAGATTTTGCATTAAACATAAGTAAGAAATAGTAAGTAATTGGTCCAACTTTTAGTAGTATATTTAAGTACACACTTACTGAAATTCAACCTTGAGACATTGTTCGATAAAATAGTAGGTAAGTGCCTACTACATATACTGAGATTTTATTACGTATTATTTACGTAAAGCCATGGGAAACTCGGTTAGCTTTTAATGAGTATTTTTATTTACAACATAATGTTAATGATCATTATGAACAAAAGTATTAGTTTTTCTATTACAAACACTGCCGTGTTACATTAAGACAGTAAGTTGTCATTGTTACGTCATTTGCAAGAGAAGATATTAATCTGCAAGTAGGAAAGAGATTCGAGTGTCGTGTGAAGTGGACACACGGATGACTGTAACGTCGAAAAAGCACGTTAATCGGCTTTTAAAATAACGTTTAATTTGTTGCATTGCCGCACTTATGTAACGTAAAACACCCTGATTACTTGTAAAGTGGACAAATAACTTGTTACTGTTAACTGTTTCCCGCTCAAAGATTAACTCACTAGTTCATTTCAGAGCTCATTTACTTGTTTTTGTAATTAGTACCATTGCGTAAAACTTAAATGGTTCAAAAAGTGTAATCTAAAGACAGTTGCAATGGATTCTATTTTTTAAATGATTGTGAAAAGATTATTTTAATTTGATATTGACATCGGGTGACATCTTGGAATTAAATAACTGCTCAAATTCATAACACAATATTAATGGCACTAGCTCAAAGATTGATAAATGCTGTCCGGTGACAATTTCCTAAAAGTATACAAATTTTTAAATTGAAGTGCACAATTTATAGCCCGCGACTCCGTCAGTCTATCTATATATCTTCAAACATTCATCCTTCCATCCATCGCCATCATCCATTATTATTATGATTCATTTAATTTTTACTTGTTATTATTATTCTTGTGTCTATGAAGATTAAGAGCAATATTTTACCGTACTGTATGTGAAAGCTATAAATATCAAGACATAGTTCGTATTGTGTATCAAAATAACATAAAAAAAGATTGAAACAAATGAGCGTATATGTAACGAGAGTTACTTTATTAGAGTAGGAACAGTTGCGCAAGGAGATAAGGATTAATAACGATATGAGGACCGTGGGTGCGCTCTGACATCTTGAACCCGACTTTCACTGCCTCCGTGTCATCATATTTAGCTTTAGCTATTGAAGAGTGGGTGCTTCCTTCTGACTTGTGTTCCAGTTTCGTAATATACAATTTTGGTATGATTATAAAAATAAATTCTTTCGCTGAGATGAACAATGTCTTTATATGGACTGATGACGTATTCCCGTTGAAGTTTCATTTGTTTTAAGGAAGTGATTCTAATTTTTAATGTAAATTTTAGCTACTAATTTATATCTGCTTTAACATAACGGATTTCTCAACAGTTAGATTATGTTTATCGTGTTATGATATAATAGAAATAAAGAATTAACTGAAGTTTTAAAATACATGAAAATAAATAAACAAATCATTATATCACTGATATAGGGCAATAAACTTGACTTAAAGTCAACGATATTCAGTGTCATTCAAAAATATCGTTAATCGAATCATCTCTGTAAATTGTATGCATTAGAAGGTTATGCTAACGTATGCTAAAAATTATATTATATTATTAATTTTTATCTTATCTCGCATAAAATTAATAAAAACTTGATGAACATGTCATTGTCAATTTTAAAAAAGAAATGCAATAAATCAAACTTGTTTTTATGCAAGATAAGTTGTCCCGATTTAACATCGACTCGAGTAATTTATAACGAGATTTCTTTTATACAATTTTATGTACATACATTATTTTATAACTCATTTATCAATATTCGATGCAAGTTTGTTTTTTATTGTTTTAAACAAAAGTTACTTTCTAGCATATTATTGGATATTTCTAGCATATTTACAAAATATTTTGGACGACTGAATACGTAAATTACATAAATGTGTGCAATAAATACGTCTTTAACGTATTGTTATACGTACGTACGTAGTGTTATAATAACATGTCAAGTGATGTAATTTTGAAAGTATGCAGGCAATTGAAAGTGTGAGACAGTGCGCCCTTTTGTCAATCCCACGGTTTGACAGACTTTGCCTTGAACAATTGCGAAAATATTTAACTCTATACCACACCCCTTAGAACTTTCTGACGAAATAACGGTTAAAT